AGCTGTATAGACGGCCTCCGTGGTGTAGTGGTTAGAGCGTCCACCCGGAGAGCGGAAGGTCGCGGGTTCGATCCCTGGCCGCATGTCATACCAAAAGACGTTAAAATATGGTACTTGTTGGTCCCTGTCTGGCGTTGGCATTAATGCGTACAACAAGGACTGGTCGGCTCGAGTCAGTATAATTTGTCTGAGTGGGGTATTCATGCTTCACTGCGACATGGTATCTCAGTGGGCTAGCACTATAAAACCAGCTTAAGTCTTGGCTAGTACAAGCAGCCGCACATACACATACACACGCATGCACGTCGTCATATGAGCGAAATATTCTCAAGCCCCATGTTAAACCCAATTTCACCTCACCTCACCTTCCAGCTGTATAATTAAAGGAGGACTCTGCTCTGTGTTCAGCCATGACCTTAACAATGTAATCAATACCATTTGCGAAACTGGGACTGTCTAATTATGGAAACCTATAACTACTAAACTGATCAACATCATAAATATAAATGTATCAAATTGGCTGGGACTGCTAAATAAAGAAAGCCTTATACCCATTTAAATATTCCCTTCACGAGTAGACTTGTCAGATGATATACACCAATCAAGTGTGACATTACTAATGGAACACAATATAACAAATAGCTGTAACAAAAGAACACAAAACGTAAAGGAATATGTAGAATATCAAATCTGTTTAAACAATCATGGTCCATGTGGCAGTATGTCTATCAGTAGCTGGAGGGTGGAGTGAGGAACTTGGTACAGCCTGGTCAGTAGTTAGGAGAGAGAGAGAGGGGGGGACTTGGTACTGTCCGATTAATAGATACAAAAGGGGGGATTTGGAACAGCCTGGTAAGTAAGCTTTTGCAAAATCATCATTTTTAGGGGTTTTTTGGCTTTCAAGGCATCCTAAAAAAATGTTTGGCCCAGCTAAGAGCTTCAGAAATAAGCTCATACCTAGCAGATCAGGAATAAACTCCCCTTTTTGCATCAAAAGTCTTCATAGTAAATAACACGCATAATCTATACTGTAAAACACGGACCTAATTTCTATACCTTCCTTATATGGACACACAAAGGAAAGACCCAGTAGAAGGCAAACCCATTAGGAAACACACAGCAGATATGGGTAGAAACATAAATCTTTAGAATTCATCTTGAAAAATGCATACCATCCAAAATGACAAAATGACCCGATATAAGTTGAACAATATTTTCAGACCACTTGCTTCTGAAACTGTAGAATGTTGTGGATCTTGACAACTTTGGGAACAATTCCTGAAAAATCCGTGGTGAGTTTGATGTGAGTGTGAATTTGGTTTAAAATCATTTCAAATAGTTTTTAAGTTTAATCACGGCTTGTCAGCCATATCACCAGAACTGGGCCCAGATTCAAGAACACACACAAACTTCTTTCAAAATGCTCCATACATTTGACAGTGAGAAACTTATAAACATTCATAAGTGCTGTCACTTTACACTTGGGTTTCTTATGCATTGCTGTAGAAATATATCTGACCTTGTACTGCCTTTCTTAAAACAAAAAACCCCAACTAAGCCTGTGTTGTAATAAAACTTGATGAGTATACAATGACCTTGCGTGACCATTTTCTGATTCCACAGTTTTGTTTCAATTTGGGAAATTGCTCATTCGTAACTACTCGCCTCTTTCCGTGACCTGTATAGTACGCCATTATTGCCAAGAATCATGGTAAACCAATCAAATCGTGTATAGTAAAACGGATTTCGAAGCATGATATTAGTGGCACCGTCGAACTTTGAAACTTCGCTATACTATGCAAAGTATGCTGTTTAGCCCACGGGATATGAGATATTCTAGGAGTAGCCATGTTTGGAAATTCAGAGTTATCGTTCCTTGGAAATAGTACCAGTACTAGACTATTTTCATCTCCGTGCCCATTTTCACTTAGACAAGGCCCAGTTGTGAACACAACTTGTGTTGAGGCCACAAGAACATGGGGTACCAGTCGCCATCCGGTTTGCCAGAATGACACGAGTAGTTACAAATGGCAAACCGCTATGTAACAGTATTCGCACTGTACCTGAAGGCATACTTGTCAGTCTAACAGCAACGGTCAGTAATAGCATCTTTTGACATAAAGCAATCAAACTAAATTATTAATCAACAGAATATTTTTTATAAAATTATACCAAATTCCATAAATCGGTGTAAATCCTAACAATCTTATGCATGAAATCATGATTGTAAAGATGGTTGCAAGACATATTTGATTGACAGTGACATACGCACTCTGATTGGCTGAAACACTTACAGTGAAAAGAGACACGCCCCATGGTCCAGCCACGGGTACAGTAACACAGTCATGATCTACATGGCACATACAATATATGTCATCAACAAGAGCAACAAAATCTGACCAGGGATCATCTCAAAAGCCTTTCTGGTATTTACATACACTTGAAGGAAACAGGTAACAGTTTCACATTAATTTCATGTAACAATTTAGGCAAGAACTCATCTGTGCCTATGATGATGAATAGACAATACTGTTACACTATGCATGAAATTGAGTTAAACATGTTCAAAATAACTTTAATCTTTGTTAAAATTTGTTATAATTAAAATCAAAATGTATATTTGTTGAGAAATGGTCATTAGTTGAGAGGAAATGAGGTTTACAGTGACATCGTAGTTTAAACTAATACAAGTTTTACAAAGCTGGCATACAGATACCATGATAGTTTAGAATGGATACCCCCCCCAGCACAGTGAATTGACTACGAGCCAACTAGTCCTGGTTTTGTATCCGATATAGTCAGCCAGGGCAATAATAATTTCCATCTTTTGATGTTTGAATGACACAAACATCTCTGGTATAAAAATAATAAAGTTATCCTTTTATTTCCGTTATAAAGAGTCACATTAATACTCAACATCTTGCATATAATAATTTCTTAAAAAGAAAACTAGTTTACTTAGTTCAGTTCTGTAACATATAACACTGGTTTCACTTCACAAAATAAAGGTCAAAACTGTTTGTAAGACTTTTGATATGATCCCTCAAGTTACAATAATCTTTGTAATCATTGTAAAAGTTTGGCAAAATACATATATGGAATATAATGGCATTTGATATTAATCCCTGGTTCTTTATATTCAACACGGACAACATCTAGAAACTATCATGGACAATGCTGACATTTTCAGCTAAGATATATCTATCTACAAACCCTCGACACGGAACAACAGCATATTGGAATTGCATCATACAGGCTTGACATCAATTCAATCACATTCAACCAGTCAGGATATACGTCTCTATATCACCCATGATTAATGTGTTACGTACATTATAAAGTTATCCTGAACTTTGGGATGATTGGTTCCAAATGGGAGCCAAATGATACAGGATACATCTTGTGTTACAGTAACCATGGTAACTATGAGATTATATCATCAGAAGAAGAATCGTCAGAATAAAAAAACGAAATTTGTCATTTAATGAATTAGGGCTGTTACATTTTGCATGACAATGGCAAAGAACTCACTATCGCCAAAGTGTAGTGGTAGCTGGAACCAAGATCTGACTTTAACGAGATTCTACACCACATTACTGACTGCAGACTGCAATCAAGTTATGACATAAGGGACTGTTCATAATTTATGGCTAGGGGTTGGGGGTTTGTTGTGATGATTTAAAGTGGGGGTCACCCATTTTGTTCTGGGGAGCTAGGAGGTCAGACATTTTGTACACATGTACTATAGGGGGGGTCAGCAATTTTGTACATAAATATATGTTTAAAATTATGCTTAGAAATTACCGAAGCGGAGGGGGTCATTGATTTTGTACATGACATGCAGGGGTGGGTGGGGTGTTTCACTTATTTTGTACATGAATTTAGGGGAGTGGGTGGGGGTGGTGTGTCATTCACATTGTACATGCTTCTACATAAAAATCATCATCAACCCCTAGAAATAAATTATGAACGGTCCCTAAGATTAGTATTTTGCATATGTAATTGTTCCTCGGACAGTGGATGGTTCCTGTTAAAGTGTGAGAGTAACAATAGCCCAGATAGCATTCAGACGTTGGCCCAATGTTGGCAATGGTTTTGCCAACATTGCCAACGTAGGGCCAACGTCCAAATGCTGGAGTCTGTTTATGTGAAGCAATCAAATCATGAGACTTCTCATGAGTCCAGGCCAACTTACTTGTGATCACAGCAAAGACTGCTATAAGTCTATATTCCAGCATGAGTGCCACAATGACTTCATTTAAGGGCGTCACAATGACTTCATTTAAGTGCACTCAGTCCATCCACAATGCCTGCTACAATAATCCTAAGTTTAGACTTAAGTTGGACTACGGAGATCTAGTCAGTCGGAGGTAATGTTAACAGTACAGACGTTACAGTCGGAGGTAATGTTAACAGTACAGACGTTACAGTTTTCTCCCTTCTTTTTGTGGAATGCTACAAAGGAATGTTCATAATGGTTCACTATAAATTTTATGCTAATCCTAAATGTTATAAATCATCATCCTAATTTCATTAAATGTCCCACACTTAACAAGATAAATACTTATAGGGTTTCTGGTAGGTAAAAGTCCCAAACTGGTGTTGTTGAACATTTCTTGCAGACATTCTATACCATTTACATTAACGATGGCACTAAAAACTGGGATTTATCAAAGCCTACCCTGAGGCCAATATCTCAAGAACTAAAGACCTTCCAGCCAAGGGCTTGTAAATACAGTCCACAACAAACTCTTGTAGCATCCTGATACGCAGTATCCAGTAGTGCTGTAACAATGCATCGAACGATCGATGGATTGCAATTGTTAAGTCTCCGATAGTAATTAATCGATGGTAGAAACGAAAAACTATCGATGCATCGATAGTATGTGTGACAATCGATAGTTTAGTAATTCACTTCCGTTGATAAATACGCAGCTCAAAATACAGGAAGTACCTGATTCATTCACTTTGAGTTATCTGCCCCTATTACCTCTTAAACAAACATGGCGGCAAACATGACATGCGACTCAGAGTTTGAAATTGTGAATAACAATAAGTCTATAATTTAACTGTTTACTTGATCTGGGTTTCAAGTTTCTTGCCAGTTTGTAAAAGAGACTACTTCAACTCGTTTATATCGCATATAACTATACATTCATTTGGGAAATGACTTCAAATGAGACAATTCAAGGAGAAAAAAACTAATGCAACAGTATTGCAATAGTTGGTCGCAATAGACTATGGCTATTACAATAGTTGTTTCCCCATCAATAGTCACTCTCAGTATCCAGTACAACAGTAGAATGCAACTCCATGTCCAGCTCATGTCAATCCAACACATACGATTAAACCCCGTAAATTCAATGTGATGTCCTAAGGCAACTGGGTTTCAGAGTTGTCGGTCTACAAAAAACTACACAAAATATTGGATGACTTCATACATCTAAGCCACTATATACACATTTCACTGACACATCTTCTATCCGATCAAGATAAAGGATCACCAGCAATCCTTTACAGATCAGACAATGAAAAGCATTCATGACAATGATTGACAGACATCAAAGGTTTGATGACAATGATTGACAGAAATCAAAGGATTGAACACTTCCTCTGCTTACTTCTTCTTCTGTTTCTTTGTTTCTTCAAATCTATTGGCTGTGACCTGCAGTATGGAAAAAGTAACCTTAAGTGAGGGAGTGAGTTTAGTTTTACGCCGCACTCAGCAATATTCCAGCTATATGGCGGCGGTCTGTAAATAATCGAGTCTGCACCAAATAATCCAGTGATCAACAGTATGAGCATCGATCTGCGCAATTGGGAACCTATGACATGTGTCAACCAAGTCAGCGAGCCTGACCACCCGATCCCGTTAGTCGCCTTTTATGACAAGAATGGGTTGCTGAAGACCTATTCTACCCCGGATCTTCACGGGACTGTAACCTTAAGAAATTTGTTCATTAGGGTTTTACAACATGCAGAAATGTGCATCCAGTATGCAGAAATGTATAGAATGGACACAGAAAAATATACATATTGCATCCCCTTGAACACAATAATATTCACTTTTCAAAAGTTGTGAGAAGAAATATAAAGTTCATTTGATTAAAGTGAGTGAGTGAGTAAGGTTTAGTTTTACGCGTCTTTTAGCAATATTCCAGCAATATCACGGCAGGGGACACCAGAAATTGGTTCACACATTGTACCCATGTCGGGAATTGAAACCAGGTCTACGACGAGACGAGCGGCCACTTTAACCACTTGGTTACCTCACTGCCACTGAAACGTACCTGATAACTCGGACCACTTCATGGAAGGCAAAGTCTACATTAAGGGGAGGGTCCTTAGCACTTGTTTCAATGTAGGTAATCTGCAATACAAAAGACATACATATACACAGGCATTTTGCTTCAGACAAACATCATCCAGCTTGTTTAATGATTTGGTCAATCTGCAGTCTCACAAAGCACTGTATGTAAGCATAATTGACAAGGTAACAGTATATACATTTATACATATTTTACCCAAATACTCAGAGTATCTACAGTTATCCCTACTTAGACTAGTATATGTTTCAGGTTATAGTCTGTTTGCAGTGAAAACGTACTGGTGAATTTCACTTTAAACAAAAATGTAAATAGAATAAAGTGAAATTAAGATTGCGAATCCTCATAATTCTACCTTGCGAATTGAAAATTTAAATCTTAGATTTTTATTCAACTTAGGAAAAAAGTTGTTTAACAAACGATCATAGTTTCAAATCACTTACCGGTATAATGGTTTGTATTACAAGGGGTAAGCGCAGTAGTTGGAACAGTGAAACAAATGCACGTGCGGTACGTGATGAGCGTTAACTTAGACCAACCCTCCTTGTTCTCAGTGTTTCACTTAATGTGCATACCCCCTTGTAATACAAACCAATAATAAAGATTTGAAACTATGATCGTTTGTTAAACAACTTTTATCCTAAGTTGAATAAAATTCTGAGATTTAAATTTTCAAATGGCAAGGTAAAATTATAAGGATTCGCAACCTTAATGTCACTTTATTTGATTTACTTTTTTGTTTAAAGTGAAATTCATCGGTACGTTTTCACCGCAAACAGACTATAAGTATAATCCCTCTAACAGCACTAATATACACGGGATTATCTCCCCTGCACATGCTGAATATGTGAAACCTACACGCAGCTCTGATGCGAGATCTCGCCCTAAGTCCTCACTGACTTTCCTCTGGTGCACTAAGTCCACTTTGTTGGCCACAAGGATCATGGGATAGTTGTTCCTGCAACCAAAGCAACAGTGAGTGAATACATGAATATGCATGAGCATCCGATTGTAGCCAAAGCACACATCATGTTCACAGAATGGCAACTAGAAAACTTCATGACAAAGGAGAAAATAATTAAATTTAGATCCTGAACAATGGCGGTAGAAAATCTCTCTGAGCTTCTTATTACAGAAGACACTGAATAGAAATTGAACAGGTTTTTCTTATGTTGAATTAATGACTAAATAAAATACAAGTGACTATTAAATTTCATTGAAGCAATTTCAGGAACCAAAAATATTACAGGCCATGCCCACTGACAGAATACTGTTTGCTGATTGGCTGATAACAGAATGGGCAGGGCTTGTGTAGCTTTACTGCACGTAATGATGTCACTGATTTCATACTGATGTCTACATTTCCATTGTTCATGATCAAAAGAGCAGTCTGTGAAGCTAACATTCTTGATATTTATCTAAAAGAATTAACTTCCAATGTTTTTGCAGATCTTTGCTTTTGAAACCTATAAAGTCACATGATATTGTACTAACAGTAATCAAATTTTAAATAAATCACACAAACATATCACAATGTTATACAGGGGTGAGGTGAGTGAGTATGGTTTTACGCCAATTTCAGTATAAATTCCAGCAATATCACAGCAGTGGACACCAAAAATGGTCTTTACACACTGTACCCATATGCAGAATCGAACTCAGGTCTTCCATGTGACAATCGAATGCTTTAACCACCCTGCCCTGCGTTACATGTACTACATCGTACACTTTAGTTTATCCGTGTGACACCCACTAAAAGTTTGAAAGCAGAATTACCATGATTATTATTAATATGTTCCATTTACCTGTCTTTTACCCGTAATATTTGAGTGTGGAAGTTCCTGATGTTTTCAAAGCTTTGTTTGTCTGTGACGGAGTAGACAAGGAGGAATCCGTCCCCCTTCCTCATATATTGCTCCCTCATCGCACTAAATTCCTCTTGCCCAGCCGTGTCCAGCACTGCAACATCAATAAACATCCGTAAACATGTGAAATAGTAAATGTCAGAAAACTAAATGTATACTATGTCAATAAACAGAAAATGACTGTAAACATAAATAGTGAGCGAGTTTAGTTTAGCTTTTAGCAATATTCCAGCAATATCACGGCGGGGGACACCAGAAATGGGCTTCACACATTGTAGTATTTTTTCGTACCCATGTGGGGAATTGAACTCGGATCATCTGCATGACGAGCGAACGCTTTAACCACTAGGCTACCCCATGGCCCAAATATTTGTGACATTACCAAGTACCATAATTGAACAACAATTATGATAAATATTTGTGACACTACCAAATACCATAGTGTTTGACAGAATATAGAGAAATCGTGGCCCTTATCCCAAATACTCCTTCTTCAATCAACCAGACTCTAAACAAACTTCATCAACATTATCCCACTGACCATGAAGTAGTGTTTGGAATTGGTTAAAATCTCATAATTGATGATTGGTTCATTACAAATGATAAATCATCAAAAATAATGGAGGTGGGGTTCAAATTGAACATGCTGACTAGCATGTTCGGAACATAAATTCAACCATGACTTGGAACCAGATTATGAAATGAAACAGACAAACCAACCTTGTAAAAAATATTGTTGATGCAAACAAGTGTTCCCAAAATTGTTTGTGTTCCATTATGAGTAAACGTAATCGATTGCTTGGTCGTTTAGTCACAGTGACCAATCTTCGATTATTTCAATTAATCGGACCACCACTACCATGCAGACACTGAAAGTGGCTCGTACTTAGAGCATGAACATGGATATTGATAGAATAATAACACCTGCTGACAAAATTATGCTTCATTTGTGGAGACATTAAAACAAGTGTTTGATTAAGGAATTTAAGTGGCATGTTTGGCTGGAACTTGCTAGTGAGTAAAACTTGTGTGTACTGGTCAATTTAAAAAGAAGAAATAGCACATCATCAAGATCATAAGCTAACGAATAGTGAGGAGATATGATACGGTGTTTAAGGCAGGTTTCAAGGTAATTACACCAATATATTACACATTTGGATGCGCTCAGAAATGCCTGTTATATAATGTTTACAGTGTTTGTGTACTGAGCCTCCATGTAGCTGGAATATTGCTGAGTGTGGCGTAAAACTAAACTCACTGACTGAGTATGCAGTGATCCAAAGTTTAACAAGGAATCCCCACTCAAACAGAGTATATTGATTCCTGGAGTGACCAGTCCTTTCACTGTTCATAACCCAGTGTTGGACCATATTGTCAGTAATGTCACATCATTTGAACCACTGTCTTTCTGCACTACTGGCACGTACACTACCCGCTAGACCATGGTGGCATTTGGTGTGGACATGATAAGCATTGCAATGTACCAAAAAGGCATCAACACTACCTACTGCATTAGTATCTGAAATTAGGAACTAACAATAGAATAAGCCACGGTAACATCATTATCCGTTGAAAGATCTGAGTTTCATTTACGAATATGTATATATCAGTATGGGATCAGCCTGACAACATGACAGAGAAGCTAATGTCGTACTTGTAGAATGCTTGTGTCACTGGACATGCTGGAAAGATACCATGACTCATTCCTATTAGTATTAGCCAATCTCCTCCATGAAAGAAACACACACTTCTAATGGAGAAGAAGAAGCTCCTGTGACAACTTACCGTCCAGAATACACCACTGCCCGTCAATATCCGTGTGTTGAATGTATGAATCTTCAATTGTCGGATCATAATCCTGAACAAACATTTTTTGAAAGAACTGTATAGTAAGGGCTGACTTGCCCACACCACCATCGCCGACCACCACCAATTTGAAAGTGACCAAGTTATCGTGAGGTGCCTTCGACATCGTTTTGCCTTCTTGCACAGCCTGTGTTTCGGTAACTAACCAAACCGGAGCATTTAAAAACCTCTTCGCTGTTAGTGTATCTATCCAGTCAGGTTTGTAGTGTGTATTTGGCCATTATTTCGTCCCAACTCTACCAGTGTAAGAGACTGTATGTGTGAAAGCTTTGCTACTTCCTGTACACCGTCCTTGACCTTCAAACACTTGCTCACTTCCGGAAACGCACTTCCTGATGACGAAAGGAGTTGTCCTTTCTCGGTCGGTAAGGCCTCCGTGCCGTCTTGTGCCAATCGCTTGGTTCGCAGGTCGAGCCCACTGTGAGCCGAAGTGTGACTTTTCAACAAAACTTGTTTTCTCTTCCGCACAACCTAATGAGAAGGTCAAACAACTTTTATGCGTCGTCGTTTTTCCCCTCTTTCACGGTTTAAGATCCACAGAAAGTATTCACGAAGTTGAATAACGCAGTGTGACTGACTTCATAGACCGAATATTGTCACTAATAACTTGATCAGTGTATTTAACTTGTCACGGTTATTTCACAAGTTCTACAGAAATAGACCGTAGTTCGTGTTGCCTGTCTGCAGTATTCGAACTCTATGGCCCAACTGGATTCACCCGACCTATATATTCGTGTATTATAGTGACTTCTATATTTAAGTTTGATTTGATTGGATAAGCTGGCGGGGATAACACCCGTAAATACCACAGCTGAACGCGGCGGGGCGTACATAGCAAATACCGGATCAACGAAGCTATCAACACACGCTCTAGACTTGCACAAGTCTCCTGGACACAAATTTAACTTCTGAGTATACACATTTACGACCACAAACCGTACGGTTTGAATTAGTGATGATTTGAGACCGAACTGCAGAATTCTATCTGATCTAATATATGGTACTCCAAAGAAGTTAAGGGCAACCTAATTTTCACATATTACATTAGCTCGACGTTCGATTCCTCACATCTTTACAATGTGTGAAGTCATTTCTGGTGTCTCCCACTGTGATATTGCTGGATTATTGCTAAAGGGGAGTAAAACTAAACTCACTCACCCATTCAGTAATAGGAAAGAATCTTTTCTTCTTTTGTGTAATATATATAGACGGATAGAAAGGGAGTAGAGTGTTCCAAAGAACATTGTGGACACCCTTTCTTAGTCATATATAGCACTGATGTGTATTTTGTTTATATATACTACCCATCAAAAGTTTAGACTCACTTAAAGCACTCACTATATGTTATGTATATGTATGTGGTTACATCGAAGATGAATTTCTCCACCAACTTGGGGGGAACCAACTGAAAACCTTATGCAGATGAATTGCACAAGGATGATGCTTCAAATTGCGAAAGGCATGAGCAAATGTCGTGCATGTGAACAGATTCGTTTTGGTGTAAAGTTTTGTTAAGAATTCGCCAATTTTCACAGATTTTAATCATTTACTGAACTCATGACAATAATCTTTTCAATGTTACGAATATGTTTTACAATACACCAGTTCATAACTAAACAGTACCTTTAAACAGTATGGAATATTTTGCAAAAAGCTAGTTTAGAACAGTGGACAAGTAAGTGGCTACATTTACACTAGTGAGTCTAAACTTTTGATGGGTAGTATACATGTATATATCTTTTTTACAGGCAAACATCCATTTTTCGAACTAGTCAATTTGTCACACGTCGGTCAGAGTGGGCAAGTGGATAGAGCGTCTGCCCAGAACGCGGAAGGTCAATGGTTCGATCCCCCCGTCATAACACAACGACTATTAAATCTGGTATTTTTGTTACCCTGCCTGGCGTTCGCTGATTAATCAAGGTGGTTATAAAGGATCAGCCTGTTTTATTTGTTTGTTTGTTGTTTAACGCCGCACTAAGCAATAATCCAACTGTATTGCGGCGGTATGTAAATAATCAAGTCTGGACCAGACAATCCAGTGATCAACAGCATGAGCATCGATCTACGCAACTGGGATACACAGACCGCCGTCATATAGCTGAGTGTGGCGTTAAACAACAAACCAACCAACCAGCATGCCATTGCATCCCATTTGCATAGATCGATGCTCATGATGTTGATCACTGGATTGTCTGATCCAGACTCGATTATTTACAGACCACCCCCATGTAGCTGGACTATTGTTGAGCGTGGCGTTAAACAACGAAAAAAACAAGATGTCATCGTATCCCAATTGCATAGATCGAAACTCATACAGTTGATCACTGGATTGTCTGATCCAGACTTGATTATCTACAGACCCCCGCCATATAGCTGGAATATTGCTAAGTGCAGCCCCACCTCATCACGTCCCGTGTTGGTAAACTGGTTTAAGGTGCAATACATTCTGGTTGTACTGTGGCCGCCTGGAAGTTATCAAGTTTTGACCAAGCAGCTCAGTGACCTAGTCCGCCCAGATTATATGATGCACAATAATTATCCCACATTGTTACATTAACATCATAAATTTTATAGTTAATATTGTGCAGAGTTGCGCCCCTTGAGCACGCCAGAAACCAAGGCGGGTTCGAATTCCGATGAAGTCTCAAGGTTTTTCAGCACTTTATCCGTGCTTGTTGGTTTACATCCTAAGGTACATGTACATGGCATACACACATCATTTCGGGCATTCCTTCAACATTATGGGGATATTGTAACTGAAATACGTTTCAAAGTCCAGTTTGCGCTCTCATTGCGGTTAGTTTGGTTGAGATTGAAATTACAGTTGCGTCCCTTGCTCGTGCAAGGATCCGATGATTATTGGCTTGTCTCCGAAGCAGTAAGCTCGTACGACTTTTGCAACTAACAGCTGACTCGCAGTAGTATAGTAAAACAATATTTAATATGGCGCAAAACCCAGCTCTCATATATTCAGACGTACGTACGCACGCACGCGAGCACATACATACACACACGCGCATACTTAGGTAACCCTCACCTTACTGTCAGAATGGCCTCGAGAAAGTCTAGCCACGCACAAAAAAGTGGGCCAAGTAAAGAGCGTGCATAGCTATGCATTAATATCAACCTGTGATACGAAGAGTGAGTGGGCCGGAAATCTGACAATGCTTTCATTATATTCTTGCTGTCTGAAGTTGAAAGAACGTCATGAAGAATTAGTCGAGTGGGCATCCTGTTATCACGTTCCATACACCCGAGCAACACGCGCTTTGCTCGGTATGTGGTGGCGATGGTTGTCTACACCTTTCATGATGAGGTTTGATTAAAATTCCTTTCGCCAAAGATATCTTAGCATTAAATTATATTTGATAAAAGAAAATATTTAAAAGGGGATACATGGATTGACAAGTGCATATATACATACACATATGCATATTTATTAAGTTATTTATTTATTTATTTAATTTTTTTTAAGGGGTGTGGTTAGAGAGTGACATGGTTTATTTATTAATTTATTTCATTATCATATTTATTCAATCTATCATCCAGTCATTCATTCTTTCATACATTATTTATTTATTTACTTACTTAAGAGGTGTGGTTAGTGAGTGAGATGGTTTATTTATCAATGTATTTAATTATATTTATTCAATCTATCGTCCAGTCATTCATTCTGTCATGCATTATTCATTTATTCATTTATTTATTTTTTTTTTTTATTTTTTATTTATTTGTGGTTAGTGAGTGAGTTGGTTCCATTCTGCGTTCCTTGATCTAGAAGGAAAGTCCCTATCGATGCACCTCTACCGGTACCATAATTACGTTGAGTGAGGATGGACGCATATTTTCTTTAGATAATGTTTAATGATCAATAAACTAGCGGATGACATTCTCTGCTTGATGGACTTGGTGGATTGGACACTTAAGTAATAATAAGAGGTACTCGTTTTCAACTGTCTCAATCTCGCAGGTACGTTTATGCCCAGGCTACAATTACAGAGCGGAAATGTACCTGTTTGCGCCTTAAGACAACATTCACTCATATATACTTTGAAGAGACTAGGACCGCCTCCGTGGTGTAGTGGTTAGAGCGTCCGCCCGGAGAGCGGAAGGTCGCGGGTTCGATCCCCGACCGCGTCATACCAAAAGACGTTATATGGTATTGTTGTCCCTGCCTGTTGGGCATTATTCATGCTGGTCACTCGCAGTCAGTATAATGTGTCTGAGTGGGGTATTCATGCTTCACTGCGGCATGGTATCACAGTGGGCTATCACTATAAAACCAGCTTCAGTCTGGGCTAGTACAAGCAGCCGCACATACACATACACACGCATGCACGTCGTCATATGAGCGAAATATTCCCAAGCACGACGTTAAACCCAATTTCACCTCACCTCACCTTGAAGAGACTAACTATTTAACCACATTTGAACCATTCGATGGTATATTATGCAATTAGCACTGATTTGTAAACAACAAAAGCTCTTCACAAAGGCTTACGATTATCAACTTGTTTGAATAAGTGTGTTTTGTCACCTGGCTGAAAACAATGAAGACTGTGCAACTGCACTAGAACGTACACTATGTACACCTAATTATTCTTTTCAATAATTTTCCCAACCCGGTCCTGATCTCATTACTGTACTGATTCAGATTTGGGGCCAAGTACTACTTGACACTGCGCCCTATTCCAGTATAGGGTCACGCTTTACTATGTCATACATTGGGCAAATATATGGGTCATCTCAAAAATAGTTTTCGTCATTGTCATATGTTCAATAACTGCAAATAAGACTGAGATACCGTTATGTGTTTACGCACGCACGCACGCACATATTCAGGGTTTGTACAAATGTAAATAATTAATATCTCCCGTGGATTAGTCGATGTATGTAACAACAGAAACGCTAACGCAATATCAAGCACTGCGTCTTATAAAGCATTACAAGGGCGAGCCATATCGCCTGCAGTGGCATGGCAGTGATGTTGTAACCGACTTTGTGCGCCGTAGAAACGATTGTGATTTAACAAACTGCGTCATGACGTGGTCGGGTTACACAACCGATGTATAAGAGTCACAACGTTGATCTACCGAAGATTTAGCTGCCTGACCCCTTATGAAAAATAGGAGCCAATCCCATTTTCAGCTGGTTGTCAAGGAACAAACATGTGGGGTGACACAGGGTGTTGCACCTTTGTTTGAGTGACTGATTCAAGGGCTCCACTAAGTTTCTTTGAACAGGGACTTGCATTAAAAGGGGACTCACTAGACATATTATTCAGGACATCCGGTGAACATTGTTTTGTAAATATGAGTATTTTCCCCAGTATTTCTATAACAGGCTTTTTTCACCCCGATATTGATAAAAATATTAAGCCTTTTCGGTTTACCCCCAAATAAATTATTTATCTGATGTCCTGAAAGAAAGGAATTTCATTGCTTATACATACATGTATTTGTTTACTAGAAAAATGACATCACTATTTGGTGATAGTCAGTGATACCATAAGGGTACACGGTTACAACGTTACCGTGACACATGTGCCATTGGAAAAGAGCCAGGCTTTCCTTAGCAGTTATCTGTTGTAGGTTGCAAGTAGACGCTCACTTTTCCTCGAACTGTTATCGCTGCTACCCGATGTCGCCACTCGGAGATCTTCCCGCGCTCGCCTTGTGGCCCCTGTGCAGCCCTAACAAGACGGCCCAATGTAGCTCTAAGAAGGTGGACTCAGTGTAGCTCTAACAGGCGCCCCCTGTGTAGCCCTAACAAGACGGCCCAATGTAGCTCTAAGAAGGTGGACTCAGTGTAGCTCCAACAGGCGGCCCCTGTGTAGCCCTAACAAGACGGCCCAATGTAGCTCTAAGAAGGTGGACTCAGTGTAGCTCCAACAGGCGCCCCCTGTGTAGCCCTAACAAGACGGCCCAATGTAGCTCTAAGAAGGTGGACTCAGTGTAGCTCCAACAGGCGGCCCCTGTGTAGCCCTAACAAGACGGCCCAATGTAGCTCTAAGAAGGTGGACTCAGTGTAGCTCCAACAGACGGCCCCTGTGTAGCTCTAACAGGCGCCCCCTGTGTAGCCCTAACAAGACGGCCCAATGTAGCTCTAAGAAGGTGGACTCAGTGTAGCTCCAACAGACGGCCCCTGTGTAGCTCTAACAGGCGCCCCCTGTGTAGCCCTAACAAGACGGTGCCCAAGTGTAGCTCTAAGAAGGTGGACTCAGTGTAGCTCCAACAGGCGGCCCCTGTGTAGCTCTAACAGGCGCCCCCTGTGTAGCCCTAACAAGACGGCCCAATGTAGCTCTAAGAAGGTGGACTCAGTGTAGCTCCAACAGGCGGCCCCTGTGTAGCCCTAACAAGACGGTCCAATGTAGCTCTAAGAAGGTGGACTCAGTGTAGCTCTAACAGGCGGCCCCTGTGTAGCCCTAACAAGACGGCCCAATGTAGCTCTAAGAAGGTGGACTCAGTGTAGCTCCAACAGGCGGCCCCTGTGTAGCTCTAACAGGCGGCCCCTGTGTAGCTCTAACAGGCGCCCCCTGTGTAGCTCTAAGACGGTGAACTTAGTGTAGCTCCAACAGGCGGCCCCCTGTGCAGCTCTCAGACGGTGGACTCAGTTTAGCTCCAACAGGCGGCCCCCTGTGCAACTCTAGCACGGTGGATTCAGTTTAGCTCCAACAGGTGTCTCCCTGTGCAGCTCTAAGACGGTAGACTCGGGTAGCTCTAAGACGGTGGACTCAGTTTAGCTCTAAGACGGTAGACTCAGTTTAGCTCTAAGACGGTAGACTCAGTTTAGCTCTAAGACGGTAGACTCAGTTTAGCTCTAAGACGGTACATTCAGTTTAGCTCCAACAGGCGGATCCCTGTGCAGCTCTAAGACGGGCCTGACACGAAATGTTCCTGCCACGTGACAATAATCATCAATAATCATAATCGGGTAGAGTATAAGGTTTGCAACCTGTGTCAACGATCCTGAGCTACCCTCAGGACATAAACACAAGTTAATGAGGGCCGGGTAGTAGCCCATGGCCAGTGGCCAAAGCGTTCGCTCGCCAGGCTGAAATACGAGTTGAGTACAACGTGACCCTTCGCGATATGGCTGGGACATTGCTAAAAGCGAAGTTAAACCATGGTTTAAACATTCATTGTGTCTATGTCACCAATGACTTTACGTTGTGCATGTTCCTCCTCTATCAGTCAATGGTCTTCACAAAAGATGGAAATCACTCCGTATTTATTTTTCGCATGTTGTTCTATACATTGTATTACAGGTTACTCAGGCAAGAGCGTCCAGCTAGGTTCCGATCCACAAAGCGTTCGTGACGTTACGACCTGTCGTAACTCTATTGTTTATCATATGCTTACGTTTGTCGTAGCAGTGTGGATCGGGATCCTGCAGCTTGTAGTGAGTGAGTGAGTATAGTTTTACGCCGCACTCAGCAATATTCCAGCTATATGGCGGCGGTTCGAAATAATCGAGTCTGGACCAGACAATCCAGTGATCAAAAGCATGAGCATCGATCTGCGCAATTGGGAACCGATGACATGTGTCAACCAAGTCAGCGAGCCTGACCACCCGATCCCGTTAGTTGCCTCTTACGACAAGCATAGTCGCATGCAAGCATGTGTTGCTGAAGACCTATTCTACCCCCCTGCAGCTTATAAGAAAACCCCAGATGGGTACAATGTGTGAAACCCATTTCTGGTGTCCCCCGCCGTGATGTTGCTGGAATATTGCTAAAAGCGGCGTAAAACCAAACTCAGTCAGTCAGTCAGTCAGTCAGGCAGTATAAGAAAACCCGACTTCGATACGGGTAGTGGGTACTCTCTGGTTGTGGGAAGATGGCGTAATGGATTCCACATGTTGGACATCAGTGAGTGAGTTTAGTGTTACGCCGCGTTTAGCAATATTCCAACAATACCACCAGAAATGGGCCTCACACATTGTATCCATGCGGGGAACTCGGGTCTTAGGCATGAAGAGCTAACGCTTTCACCAATACCAATACCACGTTTTTTTTACAAAGAAACAGAATATTGACAATGAACTGATCTGAGTAGGGTTAGAACAACTTTAAACATCAGTGGTGGGAGATATCGACATGATTAAAGAGATTCTATGATCAAGCGAAACCTAAACGTAATGATTCAGTAGTTGGTGATGTGTCAGAGCTTCTGACTTGTGTAATATTCAGCCAATCAGCGTGCACTTGGTCATGGTGCACACTGGGAAGGTAGCATAGTTTCCGGGCATGACGCAGATGCAGGTGTTACAACCGTTGTCGGCGAGGAAGTGCGCGCCGTAGTGGTAGTAGACGTTCTTGTAGGGGCAGTCCATGAATTCACCGCCATTGTCTTTAGGTTTATCTGTAACATAAAAATACAGGTGTTACAATTTTTTAAAACCCAGCAACCACAAAAATCAAATGTGAAATAAGTATATCTGCAGCCTTATTTTCAGTTAAAGGTTAATTTCATGGGCTTATTTTGTTACCTTCAGTTGCAGTGTTGCAACCCTTGGGAGAGACCCTTCGGTTGATAATCTTGGGCACGATAAGGGTTCGAGTTTATAATGAATTGTGTGAGTGAGTTTGGATTTACGCCGCCTTTAGCTATATTCCAGCAATATAATGGCGGGGGACACCAGAAATGGGCTTCACACATTGTACCCATGTGGGAAATCGAACCCGGGTCTTCAGCGTGTCGAGCGAACGCTTTCACAACCAGGCTACCCCGCCGCCCCCATAATGAATTGAGCGAAATATAACAGTTGTTTGTTTAAATTCGGCGAGTGAGTCAGAGAAAAAATCACAGTAAATCTCCCGAAGTATAGGGATGACAGCGTACAGTTGGTGTACTATCACCGCAGATCTCACACAGCATACGGAGCTGACGTCACGCTGTGGACGCCGTGGACCGTGACGTCACATTTCACTTCCTGTTCGTTGGTTTCCGCGTCACTCGACACACTACGGTAGCAGTTTCCGGATACAGTTGTTGAGAGAATGCAGTGATAACAAGCTTAGCACAATGGGAATATATCGACGCTATATTGCTGAGAAAATAATTTCTGCAACGTTAAAGCGTTAGAAACCACAGCTGTATCTTTTTCTTGACATTTTCTTTGCGACTGGTTCAGTATTCTACCATTGTTAGGCTGGATTCGCACAACCAGCATTGTGTTATGCGTAACTTAATGCTTTGTGCCAAAATGCGCACGCACACATCCATTATTTTGTTTATTGACAAACACACTGAAACTGAAAATTCCATGAACTTCGTACCAACCCGTTGATATACGATGTTGCATTTGTTTTAGCTGGAAACATGTGAAACCGTGCGAAGATTTCTAGTGCTGTGAATTCCCGTATAAATCTTTTATATCCATCGATCTAATACACGAAAGTGTTGTATACATGTGGCTATAAAAAGTAATATTTTACCTTAGTAAAACATATTTTGATACGTACGCTAGTTACGAGTGACCTCCCTTTCCATGGTCACGCTAGTTTTATTAGAGTTACCTCCCTTTCGCATTTCACTCCCGTTGGTTTCCCGTCGTCCAGCGTTTGCTCTTTTGTCAGTGATTTCACAAACATTTACAAACTAATTTAATCAGAGATCTCTTAGAATCTATTTTACCCATGGTGTCTGTTGGGTACTACTGATCTTCAGTGGGTACTCAAATATTCCGATAACTACCCTATTTTCAACTGTGGGTATTTTCTATGTGAGTAGTTTAAAATGTTATTAAAAAAAATAACTATAGCCAATCGTTTGTACCTCAGACATTAACATGGTCATATTTTAAAGAGAAATATATATACTGTGAAGTTTTAAGTTACTTTATTATTTGACTTGTGCAGTGACCGCATTAAACTACTAACATGTTGGCATGATAATCTACCCGATCCATCCGTAACAGTTAGTTACTTTCTGTTACGCACTTGTATTTAACCGGTAAGTGAGGACACGCAAGTCATCAACTAACCCAAACGTTGTAATTTCCTTTGCGTATTTGGGACGCTACATATTTCAGTGCGCATTTTGGAAATTTCAATGGGTATTTTACGCAGATACGCAGCTTATCTAGACTTCTGATTTGATGACGGATCAGCTTGCCTGAATGTTATTACTTCTGGACCTAAATCATTGTGTGCTGAAGATCACGCCATGGCGTATTTCCCATTCGTGCATTTCGCTTCCTCATAATGTAATAGTCGAGTGGATAATTTTCGTCAGGGTCCCGTTTCACAAAGCTCTCGTAAGCCTAAGATCTCGTAACATTTCTCGCAGCATTCGTACCTCCTGTACCGTAACATTGACTTACGATAGTCGTAGTGCTATGAGAGCTTTGTGAAACGGGGCCCATCTGTTGACACAAATTCCGATGTCAGTGACCGGTTTCGACAGCTTTTACTGCAGCATGATTGTGCTCTTACCCAAAGGTAATTTATGACACGTTGAGGCAAAATGTAAACAAATCAGTTAAACTGGGTCCCTTGTTGGAATGCGCCCTGTCTACAAGTCAGGTTATTTTGGCGTACGTTAGGTTTAGCTACGACAGAATTATGCCTGAAGTCAACCTGTTACTAGACACCATATAATAGATTCTTATATGGTCTCTGCTCTTACGTTAATAAGTTCTTCCACCGACAACTTACGCCGAGGTTTGCCGATTGTTGTCGAGCATCAGGTGTCTTTCGACGGCATGTTTTAGTCAGTCTAACGCCAACATGAAGTAATGCAGGCGAGAGGCACGATCCCATGAATATTGGATCTGAAGTCTCACTACTGTTAAACACAGATCTGGGGAAATCCCATGACAGATCACGTCAGAACAGTATTTGGCGAACTGACAGGAAGTCGACATTAGCCAATCAGAAACCAGCTTTATCCAGCTTTAGGACACGAGTTTCAGAATGGCGACTCCAATCCAGACTTGGCTTTGGAAAAAAAATCGATTCCAAGTTTTGAAATGAAGCAAATCAAGATTTCTTCTGATTTTTAAACTCCCTTCTTACTGGGGGCTCCTTTCCAGTGTTTCTATATTATTTTTATATTCAGAGATTAAGCGTGAATCTAGGTATCGATTGATTGTATGGCCGTACTTTCAACCAGGGTTCCGTTCCTCAAAGCGATCGTAGCGCTACGACTGTCGTAAGTCTATGTTAAAGTATGGGAGTTATGATCATCATAGCGCTACGACTGTTGTAAGTCTATGTTAAAGTATGGGAGTTATGATCATCATAGCGCTACGACTGTCGTAAGTCTATGTTAAAGTGTGGGAGTTATGATCATCATAGCGCCACGACTGTTGTAAGTCTATGTTAAAGTGTGGGAGTTACGATCATCATAGCGCCACGACTGTTGTACGTCTATGTTAAAGTATGGGAGTTACGATCGTCTTAGCGCTACGACTGTCGTAAGTCTATGTTAAAGTATGGGAGTTATGATCATCATAGCGCTACGACTGTTGTAAGTCTATGTTAAAGTATGGGAGTTACGATCGTCTTAGCGCTACGACTGTCGTAAGTCTATGTTAAAGTATTGGAGTTACGATCGTAGCGCTACGACTGTCGTAAGTCTATGTTAAAGTGTGGGAGTTACGATCATCATAGTGCCACGACTGTTGTACGTCTATGTTAAAGTATGGGAGTTACGATCGTCTTAGCGCTACGACTGTCGTAAGTCTATGTTAAAGTATGGGAGTTATGATCATCATAGCGCTACGACTGTTGTAAGTCTATGTTAAAGTATGGGAGTTACGATCGTCTTAGCGCTACGACTGTCGTAAGTCTATGTTAAAGTATGGGAGTTACGATCATCATAGCGCTACGACTGTCGTAAGTCTATGTTAAAGTATGGAAGTTACGTCTTATAGATGTTGTACGTCTATGTTAAACTGTCGTAAGTCCATGTTATGGGAGTTACGATCGTCTTAGCGCTACGACTGTCGTAAGTCTATGTTAAAGTATGGGAGTTATGATCATCATAGCGCTACGACTGTTGTAAGTCTATGTTAAAGTATGGGAGTTACGATCGTCTTAGCGCTACAACTGTCGTAAGTCTATGTTAAAGTATGGGAGTTATGATCATCATAGCGCTACGACTGTTGTAAGTCTAAGTCATGTTAAAGTATGGAAGTTACGATCGTCTTAGCGCTACGACTGTCGTAAGTCTATGTTAAAGTATGGGAGTTACGATCGTCTTAGCGCTACGACTGTCGTACGTCTATGTTAAAGTATGGGAGTTACGGTCGTCTTAGCGCTACGACTGTCGTAAGTCTATGTTAAAGTATGGGAGTTACGGTCGTCTTAGGGTTACGATCGCTTTGAGGAACGGGGCCCAGCTACGGAAATTCCACTGCGTTTCATGTTTTTATCCCATTGAAGCGAGACGCAGATGCAGTGTGCGAAATAGTTTCCAAATTTTGCCAGCTATACGGGCTAGCTTTGCCTGGAAGTTACTAGCCCACAAAATTATTCACTGGCCCGAAATTTGAATGTAGACACGGGTTTCATCATTAAGCTGCTAATTTGAGGAACATTTTTATCAAGCCATAATCTTGCATGATTTAATAGTGTATTATAACTTCACAAGTCGGGGAGAATGATATGCATGTATTTACCAAATGACCCCATGAAAATTCACTAGGCATTCGGGCCAGTGACTGTGGAGATTTACTGGCCCGACTGGATTTTTTTACTAGCCACGGGCTAGCGGGCCAGTGGCTATTTCGAACACTGCGCAGATGGTGAGTTTGACTGAATCGGTCATAACAACACGTAACTGTCGTTCGGAATTTCCATTGTCAGCAATTTCGAGGTTGGATGATACGAAAACATGATCCGATTGTCACTTCCCCGATCAAGTAAGCGATGCTCTGATTGGTCGACTGAACGGTCGCTAGCGAATATGTCCTCGTATCTGTTCCGCTGTAGCGGGAATTACGGTCAATGGCGTATCAGAGAAATTGTGATTCATTTCCCATTTTACGTCAGTTGGCGTATTGCATGGCATACTACGTCACTTCCTCTGTGTAACCTTTGGTGACGTCATAGCACTGTATCACATAATGGAATGTCACTGCACGTAAAACACTAAGGGAAATACGTATACATTTTTATCCCTCTACTACCAAAAAAACAACCGCCATGTAGATATTTGGGGGGTTTTCACAGCGAAAATATGTAAAAAAACTGAAATACTATTAAATATACTAAACCAAACTGTAAAGTCGCCTATAGAATATATCTCTGTAGTGTGAATTGCGCACAGTAGTTCACAAATGCATCTATATAGTTCAGCAGAATTCACAATGACCTCTTTTCAGTATCGGAAAGATAAATCTCCACATTTGATAAAAATAATACTTGTCTCGGAGAATGACTGTTAAACATCCGTAAATTGCGAAACGTACGCTGATTGGTCAGTTTTATGTCCATTGTATGTCCTGTTCAGTCAAGGATGTTCTAAAAATACACTTAGTAGAAAGGAAAACTCTATATGTAATAAGAAAGGAGATCTTGTTCCTTAAATATCAGTGAAGCCTAGTTTTCTGAGAATTGCGTTAATGGTGCCATGCTATTTGAAGGATGTTATTCCATTTTCTTTACCAACAGAGCAATGGTTAACAACTCTATGGTATGAAAATATCAAATATTGAGAAATGCATGTATTATAGTTTAATTAGCAGTGCAATTCATTGTCCTGGTAACCTGTGAAGATCCGGGTTAGAATTGAGCTTCAGTAACTAACGGCTAACGGCATCGGGTGGACGGGTTCGTTGACTTGGTTGACACATGTCATCGTATCCAAATTGCCTAGATCGATGCTGATGCTGTTGATCATTGGATAATCTGGTCCAAACTCGATTGTTGTCAGACCGTTGCCTTATAGCTGGAATATGGCTGAGCGCGGCGTAAAACTAAACTCACTCACTCATCGTATCCCTGTAGATCGATGCTTATTCTGGTGATGACTGGATTGTCTGGTTCAGATTTAATTATTTACAGATCGCCGCCATAGCTGGGTTATTGCTGAGTGTGGCGTTAAACAACAAACAAATAAACATTTACTCACTCACTCTTTGTTCTGGTCTTACAGACGTTACGGTGGTACGGAGGGTACTCGGTTCGCTCGTCATGACATGGTCTGGGTTCTATCCCCACAGTGGCATTACTTGTGAAGACGTGATATCTCTTGCATATTGCGGCATAAAACTATATTCATTCACTGTTTGCAGTTTAAGAAGTGGATGGCAAATCGCGAGGAGTGGTATCGATCGAGTGGATTCAGCCATTACACAATGCCCTGGGTTTGTGTGAAAGGACACGAGTAAATCTGTGAACGCCCATGTCCGGGCTAGTGTTGGATTTGCTGTGTTTGTTTGTTTGTTGCCTAACGCTGGGGTCAGCAATATTCCAGCTATATGGCGGCAGTCTGTAAATAATCGAGTCAGGACCAGACAATCCAGAGATCAACAACATGACCATCGATCTACGCAGTTTTGATACGATGACGTGTCAACCAAGTCAGCGAGCCTGACCACCCGATCCCGTTGGACGCCTCTTACGACAAGAATTGCTGTAGTCTCGGAATTCATCACAAACTGGCACGTTGCCCGGAGTCAGCGTAAGTTCACAAAACAAATAAAATTTACAAATCAACGTGTTTTACGCCGCTTATACAAATATTCCAGCAATATCACGGCGGGGGACACCATAAATGGACTTCGAACCCGGGTCTTCGGCGTGACGAACGAACGCTGTAACCACTAAGCTACCCCATCACCCCTCAAGGCACACAGTAACGCTGGACCTACCGAATCCGGTGTTCTTGCATGGCTTGTACGTGCAGATCATGCCGTTGACGGTGCAGTTGCAGTTGTTGCAGTGGTCCTGCGCCAGCCAGGATTCCCCCACACGGTGAAACTGATATCCATATCGGCACAGGGGATCCCCAGGCTTCCCCAGGAGATCTGAATAACATTCACGAAGTTTCTGAACGGCATTACAAGTGATACACATAGAGGTGAGATTTAATGGATATCAACTTCTTCATTCTGAGGAAAACAACGTTTCGGAGTATAGTCTTACTCCTTCATCAGGTGGATATATGTTACTTACTCCTGTTCGTCAGGTGTTCCTCAAATAAAGAAGCTGACATTCATATATTCTCACCTTTTATTCACGAAGTTCATTTAGAATATATTTGAAAATAGAATAAAGTTATCAAATACATTTTAGGATAATTCGGATATCTGGTAATCCACAAAATAGTTGTAAGCTGTAATGGAAAACCATCTAAATTACATGGTACTGGTACAAATGGTACACGTTACAAGTTTACAGACATTATAATGATAATAATACATGTGACATATAGTATGACCAGAAATTATTGAGAATTTTAGGAATATGTTTAATTGGATTTCTAGTATAAACAACCTTGACCAGCTATCAAGTGCTTGGGTTCATTCAAGAGAGACAACTCCGTTAATCTTTTTTCATTAGTTTGTGAAGAGTTATCCCCCTTTGTTTACTTGCTAGCAGACGACATTTTCAGTGATCCTCAGTATGGATGATTTAGAGAAGAGGAAGTTGATTTTAGAGTATTATAACAAGGACATCAGATCAGCTAAAGTGATTTCAAGTAGAACAGGCATCCCTTTGTCCACTGTTTATCGTGTTTTGAAAAATATTGCAAATGGATATGGCATTGAGCACCAGGGAGGCGCAGGTAGGCCCAGAAAATTGACTGTCGGTGACAGGAGGTGGCTTAGTATTCTTGTTTCTAAAAACAAACGAAGGAGTTTAGAAAACTTAAGGCTGGATATGATTGATAGAGGAACTGTGGCTGTCAGTAAGGAGACAATTAGAACTGAGCTGCATGCAATGGGTTGGCAGAAAAGTCGAGGAATTCCATCACCGATCATGAAACCTGAACAAAAGGAACGGAGGGTGAACTGGTGCTTACAGCATAGAAATTTTAACTGGGACAATGTGATTTTCTCAGATGAAAGTTCTGTGTGGCTGTTTCCTAATACACTGAATTTCTGGACCAAAGAAACTGAAAAACCTTTGTCTCAGCGCCCAAAGTAGGCTACAGTCTGAAATTTAACGTGTGGGGTGGCATATCTGTGTTAGGGGCAACGCCCCTCTGTGTATTTGAAGGGAATATGAACAGTGAGCGGTACACAGATTTTCTCGAGGGACATTTACTTCCATCTGCTCACGTTTTCTATGGAACTTTTTTGATTTTCCAGCAGGACAACGACCCAAAACATCGTTCAAAGCATTCACAGGCCTGGTTTCGGACCCAAAATATGACATTATTAGATTGGCCAAGCTATAGCCCTGACCTAAATCCAATAGAAACTGTTTGGGGATTATGAAGGAAAGTGTCAATAAGAAAAATCTGACAAATATTGCTGAAATGAAAGAAGAGGTGGTCCCATATTGGGACAGCATGGACCACGACTTTCTAACTTCTTTGATCAGTAGTATGCCCCGCCGCATTGAAGCCTGCATTGCTGCCCATGGTGACTTGACAAAATACTAACTGTTCACCTGTCTTTGAATCTGGAGTTATGTTCTGCTAATATTCACATTTAATACGTGTGTAATGAATGCAAAAATAAAAAAATTACAATCTTTAAATTCTCAATAATTTCTGGTTGTACTTGTATTAAGCAATGGGTACAGAGAGAAATTAGATTTCTTGTGAAATTAGGGAATTTTACAGACAAAACGAACAAGTTCCAATATCTTTAACATGCTAAGCCCACACGTTTTATGAAACTAAATTTACGAATCTGTGTAAACGTTCAAACAAACAGAAAGAAATATAGTGGGCTTTTTCCACAGAACAGAAATATATAACATGTAAAACAAAGGTCTTTCGCTGTCGCTATCAATATAGATAACTTATTTGTTATACTGTGATTGAGATTTTTAGAAAATGTATCTTTCAAACTATAACAAGAAACTATAACAAATTCATCCAGTTTCCTATCGTTAATCCAGTCGAGCTAAGGACAATGTGAGTCCAGAGTCCTTGTTTTTTGTTACGTCAACCAGACTGTTATGTAAACATTTTTTACATTAATGCCTTTATCCGATTTGCCGTTATGTCAATAATCTAATCTTATGAAATGACAGCAGCAAACACGTGTACATTTGTATTGGACAGGTGACTGATTCTTTTTACTTAACTTCACTCGTGAACACCATTCGTAACTACTCGCCTCTTTCCGTGACCTACGCCATCCGGCTTGCCGGAATAACACGAGTAGTTACGCGTCGCCGATATAACTAAATTTGCGGCTATATAACCACCGGTATACGTCCCCAGTTCGTCAAACAAAGTACAGTTATGCCCCATTCTAATTCAACTCGTTTTACGCTGGGTTTTTTTCATGAAAGAAATTCATTATTTAAACAAGGTCAAAGTTCGTCTAGGTCAAAGGTTATCATATCACTCCCTGAACTTACACCATCGCCAGAAAGTAGTTCCCTATTCAAACTTCATCACGTTTATTATGTGCACACTGTCCAAATCTGACAATGATGAATAAATCATAGTATTATAGATAAAATGGACGGAATTATGATGAAACCACTCTCTAGTTATCAGAAATGAGCGGCCCGATGATTCCTCAACTACGGTACACTATCTGTTCTGTTGTGAAATGACCTCATAGCAGGTGACGTCACGCTCCATAATGACGCCATAATCTTGTTTCATAATCTAACAGTGTTAAGTCAACAGCCCGTTGCAAGTAAGTTGTTTGAACTTAAAATTAAATTTATGATACTGTTTGATCTTGTTTTAACACACATTCCACCCATTTTAGCTGGATAGGGGAGTAAATTGGCCAAGGACTTTTGCAAATGACAGTGCCCTGAAAAACAGCATTACCCCAATTGTGTAGGAATACATTTAAAGGTTTTGGTGAATCGGTTTTCAAATTGCGACCGTATATTCTGATTATACGGTCGGAAATTTATAGCATTGACCAATCAGAACTCGTGTTACATACTAAGTTGAATTGTATTGGACAGGTGACTGATTCTTTTTACTTACATTCACTCGTGAACACCATTTGTAGCTACTCGCCTCTTTCCGTGACCTACGCCATCCAGCTTGCCGGAATGACACGAGTAGTTACGAATGTCGTGAACACCTGTATTCCACAATATCTGGTTCAAACTGAATTGTCTGTCATTCTGTCAAGATACGTCTAATTGAAGTTCTTAACAACAACTTTATTGTCAATTTTGTAGGAAAAATATGTCTGTAATAACTTTAAACGACATAAACGGGGCGACAGTCATCCACCCATCATTATCAAAGGGAATTGTCAAAAATAAGAATGATGCAGTGAAATGCGGATTAATGAACGTCCGGATTCGGACTGGGCTTCTGTCTACGCAGCGAGCAGGAGCAGTGGAGCCAGTTTAAACGTTCCCAATCGGATCGGTTTCTGAGGTTTCACAAAAAAGCCCGGGCTTATACATGATTGGCGCTTAAAAGATTGGGGAAGCCCTCAATACTATCTACATATAAAGCTTTGCAACCGATCGGTCTTACACGAAAATATTGGCTCGCTACGCGACTGTTGACCGATAAGCAGTGATCCATGGTTCATAAGTCCGGCACCACACAGCCTGAAGGGGTTCTATGGTAAATTAGACAAAATGTTTCTTGAGGAGTTAAAGGCGCATTTATTATTAAAGTTCTGCCCGGAGGTTCCGCGTATTAAACTCTTTGTTCCCAGCGTTTAATTGCAAAGGTAGTTCCGTACATAAGTACTGCCCTGCGTGTATTCGAGGAAATACGGTACGTGGATCGGGTGACCTGACGTGGATTGTGGCTAGAATATCAATCACCAGAGTTTCTGGTCCAGCCTCGAGCATTTACAAACAGACTCGTTTCAGAGCTGATAATTAATCAATCGTTCGTTCAATTGTGGGAAATATAAAGGAGATGTTCAGCTGCATTGTTTTCATATGGCGAGTAAGTAAATAAATAAATTGCATTTATTTATGATTTTAAACATGAATTATACGGTTAATGGACTGTATAGAGTCTACAGTCTCGTCAAGGTTCACTCGACAGTCAGCGGTTCGTTACGCTTTTACAAATAGCCCAGAACTGTATGACTCATGGTTGTATATAATACAGTTCAACATACTTGAAATTCCACACGCAGGTCTCAGTACTTAAGCCTTTCTTAACCGCCCTAGCTAGTATGCAGTAACTATAGACCATTAAAGCAGGCCTTATTCTATACGTGACACAGTAGACGTGCGGGGTGGTGATCTCGACCCAGAGAGGTTCTGCGAGTGTGGGATTGGGTGAGGTTAGAGGGGTTGTCGGGTGCGTGTGTAGGTGGTTGGATACGGGGTGGGGTGATATACACTTTACACCCAACACTTTCAAGGTGATATACAACATATATCACAGAATATAAGAAATGTATACATGTTGCACAATAGAGTATCGGGTGATAAACATGTTACACCACTGCGCAAAAGGGTGATACACTTGTAACACCACTGCATATCAGGATGATGTAAATGTTACACCACAGCGGATCAGGATGATATAAATGTTACACACCAGAGTACCAGGGTGATATACATGTTACACCACAACGCATCAGAGTGACATACATGTTACACCACATCGCATCAGGATGATATACATGTTACACCACATCGCATCAGAGTGATACACATTTTACACCAAAGCGCATCAGGGTGACATACGTTACACCACAGCGCATCAGGATGATATACATGTTACACCACAGCGCATCAGGGTCACATACATGTTACACCACAGCGCATCAGGGTTATATACTTGTTACACCACAGCGCATCAGGATGATATACACGTTACACCACAGCGCATCAGGATGATATACATGTTACACCACAGCGCATCAGGGTCACATACATGTTACACCACAGCGCATCAGGATTATATACATGTTACACCACAGCGCATCAGGATGATATACATGTTACACCACAGCACATTAGGATCATATAAATATTACACCACACCACATCAGGATCATATACATGTCACACCACAGCGCATCAGGGTGATATACATGTTACACCACAGCGCATCAGGGTGATATACATGTTACACCACAGCGCATCAGGATGATATACATGTTACACCACAGCACATCAGGATGATATACATGTTATACATCAGGATGATTACACCACAGCGCATCAGGATGATATACATGTTACACCACAGCGCATCAGGATGATATACATGTTACACCACAGCGCATCAGGATGATATACATGTTACACCACAGCGCATCAGGATGATATACATGTTACACCACAGCGCATCAGGATGATATACATGTTACACCACAGCGCATCAGGATGATATACATAGTTACACCACAGCGCATCAGGATGATATACATGTTACACCACAGCGCATCAGGATGATATACATGTTACACCACAGCGCATCAGGATGATATACATGTTACACCACAGCGCATCAGGGTGATATACATGTTACACCACAGCGCATCAGGATGATATACATGTTACACCACAGCGCATCAGGATGATATACATGTTACATGTTACACCACAGCGCATCAGGATGATGTTACACCACAGCGCATCAGGGTGATATACATGTTAGACCACAGCGCATCAGGATGATACATGTTACACCACAGCGCATCAGGGTGATATACATGTTACACCACAGCACATCAGGGTGATATACATGTTACACCACAGCACATCAGGATGATATACATGTTACACCACAGCGCATCAGGATGATATACATGTTACACCACAGCGCATCAGGATGATATACATGTTATACATGTTACACCACAGCGCATCAGGATGATATACATGTTACACCACAGCATCAGGATGATATACATGTTACACCACAGCGCATCAGGGATGATATACATGTTAGACCACAGCGCATCAGGATGATATACATGTTACACCACAGCGCATCAGGATGATATACATGTTAGACCACAGCGCATCAGGGTTATATACATGTTACACCACAGCGCATCAGGATGATATACATGTTACACCACAGCGCATCAGGATGATATACATGTTACACCACAGCACATCAGGATGATATACATGTTACACCACAGCGGATCAGGATGATATACATGTTACACCACAACACATCAGGATGATATACATGTTACACCACACCACATCAGGGTGCTTATACATGTTAGACCACAGCGCATCAGGATGATATACATGTTACACCACAACACATCAGGGTGATATACATGTTACACCACAGCGCATTAGGGTGATATACATGTTACGCCTCAGTATCGAGATGATATACAATTTATAACCAACAGTAAGAGGGCGATACACTTGTAACATAACCGAGTACCATGGTGATATACGAAAAAGGCATACACGTGATACAGAGTCACGTTGCACACTTTTAACAATATTACCAATGTGTGGAGAGACCTGACATTTCGGGCTATAAGTCAGTAATCGATCAATACTGACACGTGACTACGCAGTAAGTGTTCCCATCAAAAGTCACATTGCTGTTAACGGTCATTCTTGGAAGGACGACAAGAAAAGAAAAGTAGGCCACACAACCGCCAGGGTCATGATACAGTTGCTTACAAACTCTGACGTATGATAGATACGTCGAAGTACCTCTGTCACATGGGGAACCTACGTCCGTAATACATGGTACAAGTGTTATCAGGTGATACACCGCTGTGCTACAGATACACGGTACCCCACTGCTGTGATGCATGATACACTCACTGATATGATACACCAGCCGTCAGCTGAAACACACCACCCACACCGTTAAGTGTACTACAGCAACAGAACGTAACAACGTTAGTGTAGTACACGAGTACTACAACAAACACGTCACAACCGACTGTAACGTGACACAAACACGTCACAACCTACTGTAACGTGACACAAACACGTCACAACCTACTGTAACGTGACACACACGTCACAACCTACTGTAACGTGACACAAACACATCACAACCTACTGTAACGTGACACAAACACTTCACAACCAACTGTAACGTGACACAAACACGTCACAACCTACTGTAACGTGACACACACACGTCACAACCTACTGTAACGTGACACAAACATCACACGGCCACAAAGCTACAACCTGACTGTAACGTGACACAAACACGTCACAACCTACTGTAACGTGACACAAACACGTCACAACCTACTGTAACGTGACACAAACACGTCACAACCAACTGTAACGTGACACGAAACACGTCACAACCACTGTAACGTGACACACACACGTACGTCACAACCACTGTAACGTGACACAAACACGTCACAACCTACTGTAACGTGACACAAACACGTCACAACCTACTGTAACGTGACACACACACGTCACAACCTACTGTAACGTGACACACACAACCAACGTCACAACCTACTGTAACGTGACACACACACGTCACAACCTACTGTAACGTGACACACACACGTCACAACCAACTGTAACGTTACACAAACACGTCACAACCTACTGTAACATTACAGAAACACGTCACAACCTACTGTAACGTGACACAAAGACGTCACAACCTACTGTAACGTGACACAAACACATCACAAGCTACCGTAACGTGACACAAACACGTCACAACCCACTGTAGCAAACACGTCACAACCTACTGCAACGTGAGACAAACACGTCACAACCTACTGTAACGTGAAGCACAACCATGACACGCCGTGACCGAACGTGGAATACTCCTCAAAGCGGCGACAAACAACTCACTCACACACTGTAATGTATACGCCATCGTCATAAGAGGAGCACCGAAAGATCTACACTGGTTCTGGGTAATTGGGACACGACACAGCGGGGAGGAGAGGCATAACTTCTGTGTTTTCATTGATATATAAATCTTACAGGCGGGACGTTGTTTGATACACGCATTCTTGACGTTGTGTGTTGCAATTGGTTCATTATTTCTCATTGCTGATCAGTTTCAAACAACATATCAGTTTCCAGTCTTTAAACTTGAATACTCAACGTCAGAACTCTTGATACGCCCCCTTTCTAGTACGCAGGTCACATGTTATTTTCAGCATACGCTTGCCAGTCTTAATTTGTTTTCAAGGTCAAGGTCACTCTGAAGTCACATCCTACAGCTTGTTCAGCTTGACCTGAGCTACTCTACATATGCATGACCCGGGAGGTCAAACGGCAGGTCGGGTTAACTTCATTAAATAGGGGAACAGAGAATGTTAAACGGCGACCTGTCCGGACAGGTTGACGATCAACTGACAACGGTACACCCCTTCACAATAATAGACCCAACCAGCTGTGACACGGTCATGCAATTCATTAGTATTCACTTGATCAGGTCAAGCTGAACAAGCTGTAGTTCACTGCGTTCGGTCGGGTTGAAAGATTAAGCGCAGACTCGAGATGGATCATTAGGGGATTAAAAATGCCTGATTGATCATTTTCCGTGCATGAACTTACTGAACGGAATATTTTCCCCAAATATCTTTAAACATATATTTAATTAACTTACGACAAACGAAGATAGATGGAGGCTAATTGTAAACCGAATCTTCACAGTGGTTAGCACAACACATTTATTTGGGGACAGTCGTTCAAGAGTTGAGTCCCTTTGGAAACCAGAAACCTTTGATCGTAAGTTCGAATTCCGGATCGTGATGATATTTCAAGGTTCATTAGCTCCATACCCGTGCTCGTGAGAATTGATCTTCAGTAACCCATGCTTGTCTCAACCCGTGAAGATCCGGGGTAGAATATTGATCTTCAGTAACCCATGCTTGTCTCAACCCGTGAAGATCCGGGTTAGAATATTGATCTTCAGTAACCCATGCTTGTCTCAACCCGTGAAGATCCGGGGTAGAATATTGATCTTCAGTAACCCATGCTTGTCTCAACCCGTGAAGATCCGGGTTAGAATATTGATCTTCAGTAACCCATGCTTGTCATAAGGCGACTAACGGGATCGGGTGGTCAGGGTCGCTGACTTGGTTGACACCTGTCATCGTATCCCAATTGCGCAGATCGATGATCATGCTGTTGATCACTGGATTGTCTTGTCCAGACTCGATTATTTACAGACGACCGCCATAAAACTTCACTCAATCACTCACACCTCAAACTAACAAAACAAAACACCCAAAATGTACATCTCAACTTTTGACATGCAGGGATAACCAGATATGTCATTCTATAAAGACAAAAAAACAACAACACTTGGTATACAGTGTGAGAATAAATTTGCAAATCACTGAAAGTTCAAAATATCCGTCCAAAAAATGGAGTTGCGTATTGACTGGTTGGGCCCTTACTGTTATTGTTGCAGTTGAGATGAGATCCACATTCCGTGCCAAAGTCGGTGCAGTCGCATCCGTTACAGCTGTCGTCGGCCACCCAAGAGTCGCCATGCTCGTACGTCACGCCGTTGTGTGTGCACGTCTTTACTGCAGCGTGCGTCAACACTACGGGAAGAACAGACATATTGGTTTTGACAATGTAGTGGTCAGTTCAAAAGTTCGATTAATATGTCCTTATTTACCATGCAAGGTCCCGTTTCACAAATCTCTCGTAAGCCTAAGATCTCGTAACTTTTCTCGTAGCATTCGTACCTCCTATGTTACTAGGAATGGTACGAGATAAGTTACGAGGCCTTAAGCTTACGAGAGCTTTGTGAAACGGAGCCCAGGCCGATAGGAAAAATCTATTTTGTCGCATGGAAAAGGAAAAGGAATTGTGATTTTTATCCGTATAAACATTCTTAACTGTCCCAATATAAGCGAGTCAATAGAAGTGTTATAACCGTATTTCCTTTATTAAACGCCCTGGGGTAATATTTGCAGCTTTCTTATCTCGTGTTTAGGGGAGACAACAATAGGCACAATTCTTTGGGTGTTTGGGCGCAAATAGTCATCTTATTGGCCAACGTAGCCCTAAAACTATAAAACCAATCAACCATTGGGTGTAAACTAGCCAGCGTTAACTCGAAGCTCGTCGAATGATTTTGGAAATACGGTATTAACATGTAGAAAGGGCCAGCCAGGATTCCAGCTACAGAGAGGCGGTGCGGTCGTCTGTGATTAAAGCGTTGGTCATCACGCCAAAGACCCGGGTTCGATTCGCCACATGGGTACAATGTGTGAAGCTCATTTTGTGTGTCCCCCGCCGTGATATTGCCAAAAGCGGCGTAAACCATATTCACTTCCACTAGCTACAGATCATTAGAAAATGGTGGTTAAACATGACACGAGACAGTTATTCGATCGTGTATACAAGTAATATTGTATCGACCTAGTAACGTTTTGATAGCGTTTGTTATTTTCTTGTAAAATCCAGTACACAAATGGAAACCTTTCTGCCGACGGTTATTTTAAGGCCATTGTGACACTGATGGAATATCACTTGCAACATAAAACAATATGAAGAGCTGAACACCTAGACGAAGATCGCGAGTAAATATTGTTTTATCTTCATCATGGCGACCCGTACGAAGAAGCATATGTGAATAAACCGGTGGTTGATATAAAGAGCAACGCCCCAGATTCTTGGGGTACGATGACTCACAATCTGCTAGCACTGGTCTTCGTGTCTTTGTGAGCATTAAAGATTATTATCATTTTTTTAGATGACCCCCGACTCGAAATGCTTCACAGTGCAATACATCATGACAAGACTCGAAATGCTTCACAGTGCAATACATCATGACAAGACTCGAAATGCTTCACAGTGCAATACATCATGACAAGACTCGAAATGCTTCACAGTGCAATACATCATGACAAGTGTCATGATTTATTGAACTGTGACGCATTACGAGTCGGGGGTCATCTCAAATGTTTTTGTGATCTTTTATCCTCGCAAAGACACGAGGGCCTGTCTGCTAGGTCAGACCTTTTAACTAACTATCCTGTTTTACGTATCCGGATGTCATCTGATGTCACACCATCCGTACAAACCGAGAAACAGTTATTACTGTCAGTAGGGAATATGAGCAGATATCGCCAACATGCGATATTAGCTATAACCCTTGTCACCATTGAGGATGTTTGCTTGGTATAACAATGCATTATAAATCAGCTCAGTCACGTGACCCTTCTTACAAGACGTTAAGATACCTCCAAGCTAATATCATGGCTTTATGCACCATGTTTGTTTGTTTGTTTGTTGTTTAACGCCGCACTCGTCTACATGGCAGCTGTACAGCGGCAATCTGTAAGTAATCGAGTCTAGATATAGTCACGGTAAAATCTTGTGTTGCCTTTAACATCTTGTTGAAATTACACGTGCCAAAGGAGAACTCTGTTGTTTGACTCATAAGCTTAAAAATCGGATTTTTACTAGAATTGGTAAATACAGGTACATGTATATACAAACTAGTAATATTTCAGAAAAAAGGGACGGTGGGGTAGCCTATTTTTCAAAGCGTTTGCTCGTCACACCGAAGACCTGGGTTCGATTCCCCACATGGGTACAATGTGTGAAGCCCTTTTTTTGGTGTTCCCTGCCATGATATTTCTGGAATATTGCTAAAAGTGGTGTAAATACAATACTCCCTCACTCATATTATGATTCGAGTGAGTATATGTTTTTCTTAAGAGTATACGTTAATCACATATTTGATGATTTTGATGATGAAAATGTGTATATATGTTATATGAATGCTATACAATTTAAAAAAAATATTTGTAACACTTGTAAGGTGCTTATAAAACGGCAAACAATGTCAGAACACATTTCATATTGCTGCTGTGAAAAGTTACTATTCTAATGCATCCTACATGTTACAAATTGTAGCACCCAGAAAGCAATTTAATGCCTGTATAACTTATATTAACATATTTTACAAGTGACCAAGGTGAAGTTTTAACGAACAATATACTACAACAGCAACATCCAATGCGAAACTATCATGCAATGGGACATTTTAAACAGATATTTCCAGTTTGATGACAGTTTTACGAAACGAGCTTTCAGCCAGGCCATGTTATGTACACACGCACGTGATTTTCCTGCAGCTGTAAGGTGTTTATTGCATGTCAGTTTCAAGACGTCCGTTACCCAGGGACTGTTGGGAACATGCCAGGATGTCAGAATAAACACAATGAATCACCAGAGATTTGTATTATTGACTCGGTAGACGATTTGACTGAGGTACTGACATTGTATAATGTTTGTATACATACCGATACAACAACACACCGCCAGGGTCGAGATCGCAAAATCGGCCATTGTTGTCAATGAGAGCTCAGTATTAGATCCTTATCTTTTTATAGAGAGGACCGTGAGAAAACAGCCACGCGATATGTTGTAAATCCCAAGCCGTACCATATGGCACGTTCTTTTATAAATTATAATATACGGGAATTGGTTTAAATTTAACTTGACGTTAAGGAGTATGCTGTAGAAATTGAGAGGCAAGGGTTAGACAGGTTTACAACCCTCTGAAGAGGCAATGAGTAAAACAGTTGATATGAATAAAAAAAAAATGTTCCAGGGGGACAAAAACACCCAATTACACTCTTCATGAAATGGTTTCTTAAACATATTAACGACACTGTTTTCATTTTTCGAACTGGTTGGTTTTTACGTGGTGGCAGGCAAGGAGAGTTGAGCTTTTGGAGTTACCTCCCTTATATTGATATCCTCCGCGGCAGAGTTTCTGCATTGGTTTGTCATTGGCAACCTTGGCTATGATGTCTGTCAGACAACTAATATTAGACCAAGCATTCGTGTAGACAGGAAACATAATTCTCAAACACGGTAAACATTCATTCTATATTAGTCTAACGAGAATAGGTTTATTTTGCTAAACAGACATGTTATTGTGACATTATGGTACATTGCGCTTCCAATAGATCGGACAGAAGACTATTATATTGTCACAATAATTACAGGATGGGGTACTTAATGACGGCATATGACGTCATCACGTTGTAATGTAAGTACCTGTATGACGTCATTGTATTATATACTGAGTTTGAGTAGAGTAATATTTTTTTCTTCAGAGACGGAAAGTTTATATGAACCTGAAGTTATAATATCCCATTGCTAGAACTACTTCAACAAACAAAGTTTTCTGTTCAGCATCTTGTTGGGCAACACAATAAATGGCAATGCAAGCATATATATTTCCCCAAATGCATTTGATCAGCATGCCTTGACACAGTGTGCGAAATAGCCACTGGTCCGTTAGCCCATAGCTAGTAAAAATCCAGTCGGGCCAGTAAATCTCCACAGTCACTGGCCCGACTGGCTGGTGAATTTTCATGGGGTCATTTTGTAACTATATCACTCTCTCCGACTTTATAAGTTATATAATATTACACTTTTAAATCATGCAAGATTATGGCCTGATAAAAATATTCATCATATTAGCAGCTGACCGTTGTATAATCTTTTGCTTAGTTTCTACATTCAGATTTCGGGCTAGTGAATTATTTTGTGGGCTAGTAGCGGCATAACTAGCGCGACTGGCTAGCAAAGTCTGGAAACTATTTGGCACACTGCTTGGGCGGTGACCGGACAAAATCCACCCGGACAAAATCCACCCCAAAATTGCCACCCCGGACAAAATCCACCTTTTCTTAACAAAAAAATGGACAAAATCCACCCTTCTCAAATTGCTATTGTTAAAAGTTTTAGTGTGTCCTGATCTTTGATCAAGTTGTTTTTCTCAAGCATTGTTTTGATAGGATTTACGTTTTCCTAATTGGCTGTTGTTCCTAGATGTTGTTTCAAACATTAAAGGTTTCTCCATTTGTCACATTTTGATCACTACTTAATCCTCTTTCATGTATCATTAAGTAGTCTCACACTTTGATCATTACTGACCGACTGTCTGAGAAAAGACAACGGTCTTGCGTGTACAGCCATCTACAGGTCCGAAAGAGGTCAGCCCCCTAAGAAAAGAACCAGAACAACCACCAAACGTCTCCACGAACTTGGCATCGGATGACCAACCTCGCGCCGATCAGCCGAGTAAGCATTAATTAACGCTGTAACGATGTATCGAACTATCGATGGATTGCAATTGTTGAGTTTCCGATAGCAATTAATCGATGGTAGAAACGAGAAACTATCGAAACATCGAAAGTTTTGTGTGACTATCGATAGTTTTGTAATTGGTAGATAAATGCGCAGCGCAAAATACAGGATGTTTTGGGTGCAGACTTGCAGCTTCATTGTGTTTATGTTTTAACTGTTTACTTAATCTGGGTTTCAAGTTTCTTGTCAGTTATTAAAAGAGACTGAAACTACTTCAACTTGTTCTTATTTCATATAAACTTTGGGGAAATGACTTCAAATGAAAACAATTCAAGGGGAAAAAACTATTGCAATAGTATTGCAATAGTTGATCGCAATAGACTATCGCTATCGCAATAGTTGTTCCCCCCTCAATAGTCAGCCCTTGTAGCCATACTGAGTGAGTGCAACCGTGAGTAACTCCCCTCGCTGTGTTGTTTCAAGTTCACGACACATATCATCGTACCCCGATTGATTAGACCGATGCTCATGCTTTTGATCACTGGATTGTCTGGTCCAGACTCGATTATTTACAGACCGCCGCCATATAGCTGGAATATTGCTGAATACGGCGTAAAACGTGACTCACTCACTCACTCTCTTGTCGCGACTGCCGTGATATTGCTGGAAGATTGCTAAAAGCGGCGTAAAACCATACATCACTCACTCTCTTGGCGCGCCATGTTTGTTTGTAGTTCTTATGTATTCCTGCGCCAGCACCGAGTTTTGACGTTTACTCTAAGACCAAAGGATCGTTTGATGGATCGCTGTTATTATAAGTGCTGATCTTATTCAAACATCGACAATCAATATAACAAAGATAGCTACTGATACAAATTTGGTTGTCTCGATTTTTAAAAAACAACCGAACTATGTTTTATCTGTGTGTCTGAACAAAGAAGTGAACAGTCTTTAGTTTGAATTTTGTTAATCGAATTTTGATATATTAAAATTTGATTAAACGAAATTGGAAGCATATAAGAAAATAGAATATTTCATGTGTCTTGTGAAATATGATGTATCCGTCATCTCGTGGCGTGAAAAACGTGTTATGACTGTTTTACGTCACTCGATGACAGATACATTACATTTCACTAGACACATGAAGTATCATCTATACAATGTAATATAATACTTTGTCTGGGGGAGAATAAAGTTATGGCAGGCAACTCTAAATTACGGACCACGTGCAGGGAGGATATATACTAAATGTTGCTAAACATTCATCAAACATTTTTAATCGTATGTTGGTGGAGAAGATATTTGGCATCATTCCGGGACAAGCCGAATAGCGACCTTGGAGTTTACGGAAAGGGGCGAGTGGTGACGAATGATTTGGCATGTACAGTTGGATTCAGACAGGGGAGGAAGACTCTTGTCCCGATAAAAACATGGGTAAAAGGGATGTCGGAGGTTACAGACTGTCGTGGTGGTATAGGATATGACTCTTTTAGCCCTCTGGAATTGTCAAAATGAATATGGTTTTACGCCGCTTTAGCAATATTCTAGCAAAATCACGAAATGGGCTTCACACATTGTACCCATGTAGGGAATCGAACCCTGGTGACGAGCGGACGCTTTATTCATTAGGCTTCCCAAAAGCCCCTCAGAATTAATAGGTATGAAAATGATGTGACAGAGGCGGACGAGCCGTTTTATTTTGTCTACACCTCCAGACTTTGCACTGCTGAGGTGATGAAATATGTAAGTATGGTTGAAGTAGGCGAAAAGAACAACCTCAGAAAATAAAATGAAAATAAATAAAAACAAACAAACAAAACCTCTCCAGCATAAAAATGCTCCCTGATTTTCCGGAATCAAAGAGAATATGGTATTATGAGATGAATATTTTGCCCTGTATTAGAAGCGTTGTTATCTGTGATCGTGTACAGGTGCAACACGCTACACCCTCTCTGGCCGTAGTCACAAGACACGTCAGCAGATGTCTTGTACTTCTTACATGGCATCAATGTATTGGCTCAGCATAAGGCGGCCTCGTCGCTGTAAAGAGTTGCGTCCCTTGGAACCATGCCTAGTTACGAGATCTTTGGCTGTTGGAAACATAAACCTGATCTGAGGGCTCCACGAAATATAATGCTTTTGGTTGTTCTCCAGGAATAGTTTTATTCGGTTTGACTCAGATTCGAGATAACTGTGATCTTTCGCTAATCTGTTGGGTGTAGTGCGTGTTATACAAGACGTGCATTCGTTTTGTACAACCTTATTTTTACAAATTCGTTTTGTACAACCTTATTTTTACAAATTCCTTTTGTACAACCTTATTTTAACAAATACGTATCCAGCGGATCCCGTCACGAAACCGGCATTCGACAAGCTTATGGCAGTTTGTGGCCTCGTTCATTGTAACAACCGGCATGCAGCATCGGTAACGGACACGTAACGTGATACTGACAACAATCAAACACCGATATGTCGAATTCTGATGTGTCGAACGGTTGTCTGGATGTATACGCTGGGTCCCTGCGTATTCCTTCAGTGATCCTTTTGCGGTTGTGTCGAACTTCAAATAACTCTAAGTTTCAACGTCGTAGCTCCATCTTCGACACACAGTGATGTTTGACTGCATGTATATATGCCTGCATGCAATAATTCCAGGTATTCGGGGGCGGTGGGGTAGCCATGTGGTTAAAGCGTTGGCTCGTCACGCCGAAGACCCGGGTTCGAATCCCCACATGGGTACAATGTGTGAAGCTCATTTCTGGTGTCCCCCACTGTGATGTTGCTGGAGTATTGCTAAAAGCGGCGTAAAACACTAACTCACTCACTCACTCCAGGTATTCGATTCTCGGTATACTGTTGGGCTGTTAAAACGAACCACTATGCAATAGGTGAACAGATAGCGCCGGCTGTGTTGGTGGTCATTTTGAATGCAGTAATGGTTTTCGCAGAAGGGGACACCGATCAGGGTCAAAATTAAAAAGATTAGGTTTTGTAATTAAATGTCCATTCAAACAAAGACTGTCCTAAATTGGCCCCTATCATGCCAGACCCTATGATGACGTACCTCGATGCTCATGTTATTAACCACTGGTTTATCTTTCTTCCACTCGAGTGTTGACATGGTAACGCATACTTTTTGACATGTGGATAAATAAAAGCTTTATTATTTAAATAACATCATATGTACCCAAACGGGGCAAATTCACTGAATATAAATAAAATATTGTCCAAAGTCGCTTCAAGGACAAACAATTCTCTCACCAAGCGAAAATCACATCGGTTAAAAAGGCATAGCAGCGTCTAAACTAGGATCACATTTGAACAAAGAGC